ATTTTTAAATGTATACCCCGTGAGGAAATCGTATTCTATTTCAATATATTATTATAATAATAATATGAGTTCTTAAAATATATTTCAACAAATATATTTTTTCACTACAGCTAACCAATACGATTATAATATTAAATATTTTTTATTATAATTAGGAAAATCGTTGTGATGAGTATATCTTAAGCCAGAAATATTCGTGAAACTATTTTAACGAAAGTTCTAATCATGTAGATTCTATATTATAGAATATGTTGTATAGTCGAGATTTAATCCGTGTTTACTAGAATTTCTTAACGTTGTTATTCGGTTTTCTGAAAAATTAAATGGAAGTTTCAATGAGTTATCTAAACAATAAATTACTGATTTTTGTCCTAAATGAGCTTAAAAATGTATAAAACAATGTTATGAAGATAGTATTTCCATAAACGTTTTAAACCAAGATCGTAACAATTTACGTTGGTACATTTTATGAAAGATATCCTCAGAATCCAAAAGAGAGGTGAATAATCGTGAAAATTCCAAGATAATTTTCTCCGTACAATAAAATTATAGTTATAATAATACGTTTGCCAAAATTTTAAGAATAAAGTTTACGACATCGTGATGTTAAATCGAATTGTATACAGCCAACTATAAATAGTATAAATATATAATATTTGCGCCATAGTAAATAAAATAATAATTTTTAAATTCGATTGATGACCAACTCCATCGAATCATTTAATAATATGACGGATGACAGGGTATAAAATATTAGATCGTATTATCTGATAGAAAAGTATTATATTTTTTTTTTTTCATCGACAATGGCAAATTTATTTATGTTTCGAAATCCGAACACCTTCTGTGATCACTCGTTTAGAAAAACGTATAAACAGCTGGTCTCCCAGTTGGTTCACGTTTTGTTTATTACATACCCAAATCGTACGGTATAATGATATGTGTAGCCAATGGATACATACTCGTTTAACCATCGAAACGAACTGATTTCTCCGTATAAAATAATGTAACGTTTCTCATTTATATTATTTATATTATTTTTATACGAATATTGTAACACCATCATTTTTTACATTGCTGTCGATGTATTCTTTTAACATTATATTTTCATATTCGTCATTAAGCGTTGAAATATAAATACGAGTATATTTTTATATTCAGATAGAAATTATCATTCTACTTAATCTTCCTAATCTATTTTACAAATTTATTGTTTATAACTATTTTCTTTAGGATATCAAAATTATTTTGAATATTTTACATTTGTTAATATATTTTTTCCCCTTAAGTTTAAATATGTTTTGAATCGAATAGATAGAGAATTTTTCATATACCTCTTGAGGTTAAATAAATATGTATCACTGTTTCAACTTAGATCTGCATTAATAACATTTGATATCGCTACACGTATTGTGGATGAGCACTATTTTTAAATTGGCTGTTTTATATTTTATAAAAGCTATCAAGACCTTTGCTCTATATACATTTTTTTTTATTTTTTCATTTGTACATAAAACGCAATTTTTTAAACTTGATAACATTGTACAAAAATAAAAATTAATTAAACGTACGAGATCGTGTCATGAAAAATGTAGGTACCATCATCGATAAGAACCGAGTGCAATCGTGTTCTATTTTGTTTTTAATTCTGTTTTTTTTTTTTTGTTATGTAAATAGTACTAATAATTTTGTCTGCTTTTCTATTTACTACCCCTCCACATGATAATATTTTAATTTTTTTTCTTACAAGAGTAAGATTGGTTATACTATGTGTAATATAATAATATATGTATAACAATAAATTCATTTTTATTTTTATATGTGCAAATAACATATACGAAACTTTGGTGTTTAAAGTGTATTTTATACCAAGTTTATACGGTTCCATTTATTTGAAAAATATAATTAATGAACGGGAGAACGGTATAATACATAAAATTATATTAACCTTCGTTTAAATGTTCATAATCATAACAAATAATTTATTATTATTATACTACATACACACATTTTTTCTATTTCTAATAAATTATTATTTAATACAATCTAAAAGTTTATGTAATACGAAAAGTGCAGATCATTATTTTCTTTATGGACTTCAAAGTATATAATTACATAGCCGATCCTATTAAAATATTAGATTTAACTTTTAGGTTAGTATAATATATTATACGATATTATTTTTATAGTACATTTGAGTATCTTAAACTTCTTACGCATATACATAAAATACTGTTACACGTCTAATATTTATATATTTTGTAACGTGCCTATTTCTGTATTATCAAGTCATAGATTTAATTTTTTTTTAGTTCAATTATGATTAAAAATAGTTTGTTTATTTAATAAAAACAAGTTAATTTTTAGTGTACAAAAATGAGAGGCTTGAAGGTGCCGTGGACTCAATGGATCTGGGACATCTACATATGCCGTGCTAATAGCTTCCTTGTATATGACTACTCCGGTTCTCTTCTCTTATACTTGAGGTCCATAAATCAACCACGGTCTCGCCGTTGAATCCTTCGAAAGTTGTTGTTGTTGTTGCTGACTAGCACGAATATTCATAATTTGTGCACGTGACATTATAGTTGATACTTACTATTATATATGTAGCAATCTACAAATAGACCAATGTCGAAGCCAGTTTAGACAATATGTTATATTTCATATTATTTATGACACAATAGCTGGCAAGACCTCTAGTGTCTACTTATTATAAAATATATCTTACGAGTTCCGAGAATTGTGAGCTCATTATAATTTTTCAAGCAATCAAGTCATAAAATATTAAAATAGGTATTATATCACATTATTATAGCCTTTTGGCAATATTTCCGACGCATTATAATATACTCTTTTTTTCTTATTTATCAAGCTTTATTGTAAAGTGCGGTAGGACACTAACTGTGCAGTATAAAAATATATAAAAAGTGCTATTGACTAAACGAATAACTGCACTTGAAAAATATATAAAATATTAAGGAGTAACGTTTTTATATTAGACTTAATTGATATATTGGTTGTAAAAAAAAAAAAAAAAAACAAATTAATCGTTAAAATAAAAATAAACTGTTAGATATTAAAATAGCCTAAACTAGCTTATTACAGAGATTTTGATTGTTGACAGATGACATGCTCAACACATAACTGTTTTAGAAGTTTTTATTCGCATATAATTTATAAGTTTTCATGGTACATTGTTGCTAGTAGATACCAACTTTGCTATCGACAATTTAAACACCGAAGATGGATACTGACTCCATTTTAATTTCTAAAAACTGTAGGTATGACCCATATTTGCTTTTGTTTTTATTTTTAATTTATTTGTAATAGAATTTAAAAAAAAATAACCTTTTATACAGCTTTTAGAATTTATACAGCTAAAATGTATTATTTTTATTTAATATTATATCAAATATAATCTATTGTAGTAATAATAGGTATAACTCACTAGTCAGTTTCCTTGGTGATAAGTCATAACTTAAAAATGAAAATAGAATATAGGTTAAAATTTATAACAATAAGTACATAATTCATTCAAAATATATATCATTTACATTTTTTTTTTTTTTTTTTGTTTAACATAAAGTAAACATTTGGAAGCGAGTTGTGAAAAATCTCCTAAAGCTACTATGGCATCAATTATTTACATAGCTGAAAAAAATTCTTATAATAAATCATGTTACTTAAATCATATTATTATAGAGTGAAAATATCTACAAACGTGTAATTTCCAATAAAGTTAATTTAATGCACTACAGCCTGTTACGGGAGTCATATTTCAATGCAGCAGATAGTCAAAGGGTTAGATACTGTCGGACTGTATACTATTATATTACACCTAGGCTTTACGACATACAATCTACGCGTTAAATTCACAAAGAATGATAGTGACGTAGACCCATGTTAATCAAGTATTATAAAATTAATAGTTTTTTCTTCTTCGTTTTTGACTTTAAATAATACAAACGTGTACAACTGTGCGAGCTGGGTAAAAATTCAAACATTGGACAAATACTTAGGTATTTTTTATATTTATATATTTATATATTATATAAGATGACTGTAATATTATTTTTAATACCATATAATTGAGTATAAGTTTAGTAGTCGTTATTGTTTTATAATACCTGCTATACTATAATATACTGCACATGCCCTGGTTATTTATAATTCATTTATTATTTGTTAGTATTTTTTTGGTGATATTTATCATTTTACTATCGTAAAATATTAAGTAGTACACATAACGTTATATTCTAAGAAGATAGAGGAGACAAGAAAAAAATAAATATAATTTATTAACATATTATTTGATTGTTCCTATCCCTTACCATATAAGATTTAGTTAATTATTTTTTGTACAAAAATATTAAAATATAATAGTTTATGGTAGTAAATACCATAAAAGTTTTAAAATCTGACAACAATAAAAATTTAATTACGCTTATATAACCTTCTATAAAAGGAAGCTGGAAATTATTTTTGTATCACGGTTCTAAAATGTTGTAAAAATTTAAAAAAACAAACACTATTGAAAACGAATGATACCTATAAAATTATCCATAAACTATCGTTATATTAAGATTTAGACAAATAAATAATGAATAGAACATGTGTGCGTATTATATAAATAATCGAATAATATGAGTAGGTATATTAATAAATACAATTAGGATTGATATATTCACGTAAGCTAATTAATCATACGATTTATACGTTAATATGTATACAAAACATTAGATATATCAAAATGTTCAAAAAACATGCTTAATAAATCGCGCTAAAAAGTGCGATTATAATTATTTTTATTTTTTAAGGTCTTATTGAATTAAATTTTTTTAAATGCTATAAAAAAAATATAAAATTTTGAAAATACGATATTTAAAAAGAATTAGAATTTAAATAGTATCACATTATTCTATAAGTTAATGTTTAGATGAGCAAACTTTTTGAATATATCATGTATACTTATGCGTGTGACATGATGTGTGTTTCAGTCGCTCCAATCGTTTCGCTCCGACTCGGAAACTCGATCGACCCGAACGGCATCAAAGAAGGAGACGACGTGTACTTCGATTGTCACGTGAAAGCCAACCCTCCATCGACGAAACTCACTTGGTATCACAATGTAAGTGTATAATATACCTTATTTATACGTCAATTTGTACGCGCACGCGCTAGGGTGTGTGTATCTTTGCTTATTTATACACATTTCGTGGATGCATAATGTGTACATTATGTTATACATACTTTTTATATACATATTATGTAAAATGGAGTATCGCACGAATGCAGATATTGTTAACCGTATCGTGAGGTCTCCAGTGATGTGATGAGGAGAACAGAATAAAAAAAGGGGAGTAGATAGTTTCGAAATAAATCTCCAATTCAACGGTGTGAGAGCAAACATAGGAAGACACATTATATAATACATGATACACGATTTTCTATTTATCAAAAAAAAAAAAAAGAGAAAGAAAACAGATCGTTTGTAATTTTTTAGAGTAGATCATGTACATAATATATACGTATATTTACGTATTTGTTCGAACTGCTTAAACACCACGCGTGCTTTATATCTATAGCCTCTTGGGAAAGCTGTAAATGCCCGACACAAATTTCCAAACGTAAAGAAACCTTTTTTTGACGGTCTCAATCCTATTCATTTTTTACACTATAATTTATTATAACACGAAGGTCTCTTTTTTTCTTACCTATTTAAAATAATTACAATTTTCTGCATTTTTTTTTTTTTTTTTTTTTTTTTTTTAGTATCTTCTTAAAACTTCTAAAATGTAATTAACTACAATGATTTGCATACATTTGCAGTGCTATCTGTTTTTTACATCAAATTAAACCAAATTAATATAATATTATTATATAAAACGCCATCCCGCGAAATACTTTCAAATGTTTTTACACAAAATATAATAATTATTACAACAACAGACCTTTTCATTAAATTAACACACAGTTTACGCTTTTCGGATTAAACCATATCGTTATAGTAACACGATACTGATGTCTGCACGAACAAGTACAGTTAAAAACACAAATTAATTTTACATATCATACTAAATAATATGATACACATTATAATATTAGTATTATAAAATAAAAACAATTGTTTATACACACATACATGAGTTTTAGATATCATTTAATTTTATATAAATTCACTATTTTTACTGGCTCAATTTAGTTTATTTATAATAATATATGAAAGTAAATACCTGCATAAGGTTTTTGAATTATTTTCAGTATTAATCATTTAAAAAAAAAGCTTTGAAAAGTTTTCTAAAAATTGTTTATAAATCTAGGATAATAATACTGTGACTAGCGTGAGCTTATAATGATGTGTGGTATGTAAAACATAAAGATTTTTAGTAAAACACTAACCACGTCGATTAAAAATGAAAAGAACGCCCAAATTACAATATATATTATAGTGGTAAATATTATTTAGGTATTAAACGTCATGTACTATAGAGCTTAATGTTATTGAATGTACACGATTAAAGAAACTCTCGTGTCAAAAAATGTTTTGTAGTATCGTGAACGCAGAAATTATGTGGCAGTTATAGGGTAGTGTTATACTCATGAAAATGAAAAAATACATTATAAAACACCGACACATTTGATGTATTTTGAACTTTTCCTTCTTGACTCTTCAAAATTCAATCAATCATACAATGTAAGAATGCAAAGAAACAATAATAATAAAAAAATAACTTCATATTTTTCCAGGCACATACCGTACCATTTATATAATATAACATAATAAATTATAGGCATTATTTATAATCTATGTAAATAAATATGTTTTTATTTTTTTTTTTGGAAAAATTTATAAGCATTGTGACTATTGTTTAGTTTTTAAATTTTAATTTCTTCTAATCGTTGATCGATATCATCATAAATTATCATCACATTATTAAATCTTTCCCGGCAAAATGCGGTATGAGCTGATTTACGCAAACTGCTACGTTCTCCACACGATGAAAACAAAAATATACAAAAACGTCAAACTATAATAAATGTCGCTATAAGAATTAACACAGAAGTTTATGAGCCAATAATATCAAATTATTCAGAAAATTAATACCGTCTGAATTGTATTGCGAGAGGAAAAAATAGCAATTAGCTCCTGAAAATCAAAAGCAAAACTTTTTTTCCAAATGGATGAGTAAAGAGTGGAACTTTAATGATTGCACAAAAAATAAAGTAATAATAATGATAATAAAAATCTCTAGACACTTTTAAATTGAAAAAAATTACTCAAGAACAAAAAAATAGTTTTAAAATAAATATTATTTTGACAGCAAATAATTAAAAAAAAAAAAAAAAAACTCAACATTATTATTATAATAAATTAGGTTTAAAAGATGGATAAAAACTCTTAAAGTTCTCACTCCCGTTATTCACATGGCCATTATGAATGTTCCGACTTCATCGTTAAATGAAACTTTTTACACGCAGGCTACGGTCTTTTTAGTAATTTTTTACACATTTTTGAACAAAAAGCACCTAAAGTAGAATGTGCTCTTTAAATATTATTAGCTCTCGTAAAGATGCCGAGAAAATGACCGAACCTTTTCATGGTGAAACATTTCCTTTGACATCCTAAAAGTGTGCAAATTCACGAGATGTTTTATCATTCTAATCTGAATAAGTATTTTCGAGTCACTTTTAATACTCTTTTAAATCAAATTTTCATTCATACACTATATTTTAAAATCATTAAGCCATTCATAAGTACATATAATATAATATTGGTACATATTTTACCAGTTTTTTTAATTATCCTGTGTACATCACCAATTATTACCTTTAATAAATCATTAAAATTTATATTTTACACTATTATATTATGCTTTATATATTATTTAATAGTGTTTTTTTTTTTTTTTTTTTTTTTTATGTACAGGTAATAAATATGTATACATAATATAGACTAAGTCTAATTGAAAAATTGAACTTACTCCAATATTTTAATCATTTCCTGGTTATCTAATTTGTAAATTCAATATAACATTAACAAAAAAAAATTACTAACATAATTATTACACATGAAATATTATCTTAACATTAAAGTGAAATTATACCATATAAACATACAATTTAAAAAATAAATAAATATATCAAAAATGTTTCCGCCCGGGATCGAACCGGGGACCTTGTGCGTGTGAAGCACACGTGATAACCACTACATTACGGAAACCAGATACATCCGTGGATAAATTGCATTGTATATAAAAACAAGTTTCACTATAATATTATATTAGTATAATGGTGATCGGCATTATTTAAAATAATATATATATATATATAAAATTTAATAATTAAGTGTAAACAATATGATTTACATCTTAAATGAAAATGACAATCTGCAATGTTTCTTTTGGATGAAAATTGCGTCCGTTATGTTTGCTCCTTTTTTCTTCTTGAATCAAATTTAAATAAAAAATATTGATTGCTGATGATATTAAACCTATTTAAATATACTATATACACTATTAACATCAGTTTCTACTGTGTTTATTTGGGAAGGGGTTCTTAATAAATTATGAACATCAATAAATATCAATGTCATAATATAAGTATTTATCTATGGTATCTATTATATCTATGATAAATGACAAAGGTTACCTATAGGCTTAGGAAGTGATAACCCCTTCCCTCATTAAAATGATCATTTTTTTTTATAAACTGTAGACAACACTACACTACTATAATATCATAATTTATTAGTTTATAAGTATAATACAATATAAAATACTTTTGCTCTTTTGTTGAAACCAATGCATATAATCTATAGTTATAATAACTCAATTTAAATTATGAACTATGATAATTTATAAACCAAAAAGAAAATATTATACCTATAGTATCCTATATACCCTCATATAATTTTGTATAGAATATCGATAAATACCTAAGATCCGATGTTAATCGAAATTTTATTCTATTAATTGGGAATTAAAAGTTTATCTTTTTAAATTTTAAATAGTTATTAATTTCTATTATAGTAACCAGATGAAAATTGTATTAGGAAAAGTCATAATTTGTTGATAGCCTTGGTAGGTAATAACTAATAGGTATAAACAATATTATATTTTAATTATAATAATGTTACTAATATATTCAATAGTCAGTGTACATATAGTCCGTAAAATAATAATAAACATTAATGCTTGATATTCGATTTGTTATTTATAGCATACGGTTGACCATAAAATTATGTTATGCATGATTTTAGTATATAAGCAGATAAATAAGTGTTAATTATTTAATCTTACAGGTAAGTATAATAAAATACTTTCTATATGAATCTATATGAATGTATAGTATACCTATATTTGATAATATAGGTAACTAGGTTACTATTAAAATTTGAATTTGAATTTGAACTCTCCATTGTTATGTAGTTAAAATATTCAAAACACAATAAAGTGATCAAGTAAAACATTTAAATTCAACCAAAGCTACATACTTTTAAAATGATACTATTTTATTGAAAATACCATGACACGATAAATTGAAATTCGCGTTTAAAAAATACGCTTTAATATTTACTATGGACATTATAAGGGAAAAACAATATTTTTAGGGTATTATACACGCAGAATCACATTTGATCGATATTACAATTCAATAATTGAATAATAAATACATAATATAAATGTATAGTTATAAATTGCCATATTACAACATTAAAATAATTTACAAAGTCACATTTTTCATTAAAATAGATACGTACATTTTTTAAAGGCCATTAAGCATTTATACAGTAGTTATTAGCTAAAATATTCATTTTTGAGCATTGGCATAGTTATTTTTCTGCGAAAATAGGTAAGGTCAACGTACACGGTGAATTAAAATAATTCAGATAAACAACCCCTAATGGAGTATAAATAATGAGTATAGCATTACATAATATGATATTATTTTTATAGATGCGGTAGCCGGTAGGTAATTAAAATATATATTTGTAAGACTCTAAATAAAAATAATAAATTTAAATCTATTCATTTTCTGGACTTACACGAATTTTCAACATAGTACTATCACGTGTTTAATATTAAATTCTATATACCTTATAACTTGTATATTTGTTATTTTAAACCTCAATAATTACTAACTAGATAAAAAAAAAAAAAAAAAATGAAAATATATAAGCTAAAACTTAAGTCAGTAACAGTAGGTTTGTTCAAACGACATAACTAGGCTATACGTCTTACTTATTTGAAAAATAGTGTTTTTCCTGCATAACGTGAATTCATTGATACGACTTTTAGAGTGAGAAATGCAATTTTAAGATGTTATAACATGAAAGAATTTAAGTTATTTTAATTTTAATCTTCCATTTTCACATCCACTTAATGAAAAAATAAAATAAAAACGATACCTCTTTGCAAGTCTTTAAGAATATATTATAATATTATAATATTCACTGAGTTAAAACAAAATATTTTTCAAATAAACGTATTAATAATGCATATTTTATCTAATCAATGATTTAACTAGTAACATAAAAATGAATAATCTATGCCGTCTATGGCATTGTTCTCGGATTGATGATTAATATGGATAATTTTTTTAAATTTAAATCGGTGATAAAATATATTTTAAATTACATTAGTTATTTGACCTGTATGATAAACTTCAATAAGTAAAGAATAATAAAAAATGTACTGTACTTAATAATATATATATTCATATTTTTATTTTTTAAATATTTAACTCAATTGAAAAAAAAAACCCGAAAATCACTATGTTATAAAAAAGTAGATTTTCCAAATGTAATTCTTCATTGAGCAGATCACTACGATGTTTATATTTGTATTCAATATGATAAACAATTTGATGACTAAGAATGCTCTTCAATTTTCCACCCTTTACAAAGTTTTTAACTCCTTCTATCACTCAAAAAAAGAAAAAAAATGGAGCATATTTGGTTTGCATGTATGTGCAATGTAATGGAAACTACATTATTTTATCTTAACAAGTGACTAATTGCACTACCAATTCATATAATATTACTATTCCATATCTCACTCAAACATTATTGTTATGTCTGATTCGTGATAGATAAGTTATATCATACACATAAACCAAACATTCTATATATGTTTCGTTATCCCAGCGGGGATAATAGAACGTGAGCCTTGTGTGTTAACGGGGTTATAATTGTGACGTGTTGTATACTATTAAATTTTAGTTAATGCCAATTTTGCTGTTGTTTTTGTTGTTTTTTTTCTTTGCGCGTACTGACTCGTTCTATTTTGTCAGATTTATAATTGTTTTCGGAGAAAATTAAGTGAGCTAAAGAGAAAGCTGTGTCGTACGTGGGTAGATGCTATGGCGGTGTCGACTGCAATAGCGTACACTTTTCAGGGGGTTTTATAACGGCGCCCTCGCTAAATTCAATAACTTGTGAGTGGAGTCTATCCGTAAACCTATGTACAGATTACAGCTCAAAGTATATAGGGTTATTATCTAACATACTAACATGTTCATGATGGTTTTATAATAATACATTATTAAGTCTATTAAAAAATAAAATTCTCAGTTTAGGAATTTTTAAATATTCTTATATCTTTGTAAATTATTTACAAATATTTAAATTTTTACCATTCAAGTCAAAATTATTAATTATATTTTTAAGAAATCTGAAACATCCTATGATATTACAAAGTTTTTTTTACATAGAACTACCTTTTTTTTTTTTTGTAAATTGTTGGAACAAAAACTTTTGAAAATGTTGATATGCTTGAATAATCAATATTTGAGTTATTAAACTTCTGGTTAAATTTACTGGTAAAATTATTACATAAAAATATAAAATATATATAATGTTATATTTAGTCAGGTATCTACTCGTAATTATCAAAAGTACTTGAAATATTTTTTTTTGTAAATTACACAGTTTTAATAAATTAATACTAATCACTATATTTTAATACCATCAATCATGATGATTTACACATTATAAATATCATATTATGATAGAGTAGTATTTTACAAAAACATACCATAATAATGTGTGCTATGAAAATTTGAATTTTATTTTTATCTATACAACAATAAAAACAAAATTATTGTATACGAAAATAACTTTGATTCAAGCTATTAGTAATCGTCTCTCGTAACTGGGAGTCTCACAATTTTATTGCAAGATGTAGCGCTCTACTTCCTCCAGGTCGTCGTTAGTCATATGCCAGCCTTCCAATTTGTCCTCTAACAAAGTGTTTCACTTTTACAACTGGTGTGCTATATACTATTTAAAAATTAATATGTACTTGATATAATTTCTATGACGAGTAAAAGTAGATTATCAGCTGTTGACATGAAATACACTTTATTATTTCGTAAGAAGAACATATGATAAGCAAAAAAAAAAAATGTCTTTTTTATATTATATCTATGTTTCACCTGCTTTTTAAGGATAGTAGACCGGTCCTAGTCCGAGCCTGAGTGTGTTGCCATTTTTATGGATCTAAATAAGGGTGTCACCATATAAAAAAAAATGAGAATCACTGCTCTAACCATAATCGGTATTTCTGGGGATACTGAACAAAAAATATCGGTAATTTTAACAAAAATATAGATTAAATTAGTAATATCATTGTAAATATTCAGTCAACAAAATGAGTATTGATACTTAGATGAGATATTTGTTGAAATGAAAATTAACAAATTATTTGATTTAATAATTTTCTTGTTTAGTATAACTAATATATTATTTCTAAATTTTGTTAAAATAACTTAAAGTTTTGTTTAATTTATCAAATACATTATTAATTTAACGTGTATATAATGTTGAATTAACAAAAACAAAATGATTTTAATAAAATGATTATTATTGAACGTAACTAAAATATATTTAGTTTAATAATAACGATACTTTTTAATAACTTAATGATAACGAAAATGTAAATTAATTAGTTATAAAATTTAAAAAAATTATAAAGAAATATAAAAATCTAACAACAACGTTATTCAAAGCGCCGCCCGAGTTATCGCTGGAGCAGGACTCTTCACAATACTACATGCCTGCCTAACTTTAGAGAACTTATCCTAACACCTATGAACTATCATTTGATTTGGAAATTAGTGCCGAAATTCGAGCACTTAAACCGTTTTAGAGAAGTGATAAATACTACATTATAAATCATTTTTTATTTAAAGATGTCCCATTTTTATAATTTATGAAAATCTTATATCATGGTTAGTTTTTTGTTATTTATGCACATTTTTTTATAAATAAATTTGATTTCAGGGTGCTACGTTGAACCTTAACTCTTCGTCGAGAACAATGAAAAGCGACAACAACTTAGTTTTGCAGAGAGTGACCAGAAATGTTGCAGGCAGATACGCTTGTCGAGCGACCAATTCCGAAGGGGAATCGTTCAGCAACGAACTCAGTCTACGCATAAAATGTAATGTATCTGTTTATATAAATTAATATATATATATATATAGAGATTTGTTTGGAGCTTATAGATTTAGACACTTCAGTATTAATTGACACCAAATTTTGGATATACATACTTGTAATATTCCTTGAGGTTTATTTTTAACTCATACATTGGGTATGATATTCATTACACACAGGAATTTTGTTTCCTTTATCCATCTCAAAAAAATCGAAATTTTTTATGTTTATAAATATATATTATAACATATAAATAAATAAGATGCTTTAATATAATCTCTATATACAAATTATATGCAATTAAAGTATAAAATATATTATACAAATAATTAAAAAATAAACTCAATCACTATTCGAATAATTTTGACAAACATTTCAAAGATTATTTTTAGAATTACTAGGAAAGTTTATAAAATATTCTCCACCATATTCAAAAATATACCAAGTGTTGTGTTCAATCCACCACAAGTGGATTGCTTATCTCAGTTAAATTAGTTTACAAAGTAAGATGCACTAACGCTGATTTGTCCGTGAACTAATAGATACACTGAAAATAAATCACGGCAAGATACCTATATATAAATACATATAATTAAAACTTACTAAATTTCTAAAAGGTTTTTGTAAAACTGTCGCAAATTCGAATTATTTGAAAACTGCGAATGTTTTCAATTATTAATTCTAGCGTACTCATAATATTTTCAAATCAATTAAATTTTATCTATATGGTATTAAGTGCTTATTGTTTTTACAAAATCGTTTTAATATTATTTCAAAATACAATTTTTTTTTATTGTCTAGACAATATAATGTAAAAATAATTAATTTATTATTTTTCCAAGACCACATAACTTTTCAAGAGAAATTAGTTTTTTATTGTCTAGACAATATAATGTAAGAATAATTAATTTATTATTTTTCCAAGACCACATAACTTTTTAAGAGAAATTAGTTATTTTACCATCACTTCACAATCAACCACTAGAGACTCAACCTACACTACCTGCTATGTGTAGAATGTGTAGATATTTTAAAAATATAATTTAATTTGTATCCTTATTCAATAAAATGGATCAATACACGTGTTGAAATACTTGAAACATTATACTTAAAATTGAAATTTCGTATTATGTTTGAATGATAAGTTTGCTAATTAATTACAATAAGTATGAATACTATGAATAAATATTTAACACATTTATAGCCAGCTAATTTAAAATACCTGGAAAGATTAATTTTGCATCGATTATTTTTAAATGTTAAAAACTTGATCACGTGACAGTATACTTTCAAGCCGTATCAAAACAGAGCAGAACCCAACATTTCCGATAACAGATATCGCATTGAGCTAACAATTATTATTATTGTGTGGTCAATCTGCGGACATGGCCCTAAAATAAACTCACCGGAACTGTATATTGTTGGCGAACGAATCTTTATCACGCGGGAACGCCGCCGGCTGAAAACAAATTATTTTTTAATTCGTTCCACTTGAGTTATCGTTTCCCTGACAAAATAATATACGTACGCACGCACATACGTGACGCCACACGCGTGCCCGTTACTGTATACGCGTATAATATGTATTAAAACAAACGCACTAACGAATAACTGCTATGACTATGTCTGTGTGTATGTGTATACGCGCGCGCGCGTGCACGTGCATATAGATACGATAGTACAGTAGAATGTGCCGAGGGGATTTTCACGACTTAACCCTTTCCCCCGATGTAGTTTCGCCGGTTCCGGTCATACCGACGTTCGGCACGGCAAAGCTTCCTCCGCGACTGCCCCGGTCCCCATCGTGTTTCCTTTATTGTTGCAATAAATAAAAACAATTTTGAACAATAAAAAAAAAAAAAAAAATCCCAACGAAAAAAATATCCTCGTTTCCTTGATGGGTCATGGCACGGTAGTGGTGGCGATCGCGGCGGTTATATGAACATTTTACTCCGCCGCCGGATGTACCTAAAACCCATCCGTTTTGTTTTGAATACCGAAAGCACGTTGTTTGGTGTGCCGGACAATATAATATTTCTGTTATTGTTATACTATTATTATTATTATTATTATTGTTATTATAGTATTCGCTCATGGCAAAGTAAAAATAGTCATAATCGATCGCGCTGCGGCTACCAATCATATGATTTTTTTTGGTACCAGACAGTCTTCGTTTTATCGCATGTCTCCGTTGTCCGTTCTTAACGTTTACAGAGTCTGGCAATGTAAGTAAATATGTTCATCACGAACTATGAAGTTAACGTTGGACGTCACCAAGTTCTAACCCACAAGAAAAAGCGTCGAATTAGGACTAGGTTCGTATAAATTTTTCAAAGGCTGGATTATGACATAATAAATAAGGGAGACCGATACATATTTTAATGGAATAATGTTGTCGGTAATTAAATGATTTATATTTTATTCGGTGTCGGAATAACCGTTAACAAGAATGCGTGCAGAAGAAGAGCACCATGATGGAATATGTTGTTGATATGCTGAATTGTAAATCAACGACGATCTCGATCACCGAAAGTTGATATTTGTTGAAGTGTATTACTTCCATATGGCTGGTGTTGGTCTTAACGGAGTCCGTGTTGAAAGATGAGATTGTTTTTATTTAACACGAATATCTAGTAGATATTGAGTGACACTTTTATTAGAGTATGAGAATTTGTAATTGCTATTAGGATTGGCTACGTCTGATAGAAAAAACATTACGTTACTAAATACGAAACAATTATTATTCTAAATCATTGCGCGTTACACCATTATAATAGGTTATAGCTGGGGATCAAACGTAGATATACAGCGAAACGATTCAGATTATTAGTATATCATTGTATAATTATATTATTATGGTTATTGTAAAGAGATGATGAACTATTGTTTATATAAATCCTGAATACGTTAATAATATACCTGATGATGTTAGTTGGGGATTGATTAATTGTTAATTTAATTATAATAATTAAAATCGTGTGTCCAATTATATACTAAGTGTGTGAAAAAAAATGATTGTGATTAATATTATTGTTATTGTCTCAACTCTCAATTATGCCAGCCAGCTTTATGATAGTGTACTATACTACTCAAGTTAATTATTTGGCTCGCTGTAGTAAGATCGCGGTGTTTTTTTTATTGTTTTTTTTTTTATTGGCGTTTCACTCGTTGACGTCTGCTGCAATATAATCATAACACAATAAATTGCTAACATAAATACTCGTTGTTCTACGAATACTTTCCAACAAAAACCAAGGGTCAACCAACAGTTCTGGACCAAACATAACATGTAATACATATTATTTTATAATTCGCACATAATGACGTGTGTGCGATGTACATGCACGACATTTAATACGTTTTTTTCCGGAAAACACTGCAATATCCGGTTGTCGGCATACCACATAAAATATATACGCAAGCGAATCTGGATTTTCCAATAATACGTCCACAACTCCGGGGATGTGTCTCAACAAATGTGTGTGTAAAATAATGAATCGTTTTCGGAAGGTTACCATCCATCAATTAAGAACGAACATTTCCGCGGTCAACTCTGTGGTATTTACGAACGCACATACCTACCTATGAAATGAACCCAGTCTCATACCTGCACAGTGTTCTTTTCGGCCTTGACGATTGTGCAATCGTACAATAAAACCTCTGTACTCGTATAATAATATTGTATAGTAACCTATACGGTATACACACGAATATGGATTTTGTCATTCTTGTCGATGATCATCTCGCAAAGATAATGCGGATTGCCAATGCAGAACCAAATTTCTCTTTATTTTAAATTCAAATTATAATCTTGTGAATATTATATATTTTGTTTTATTAACATATTAAACTATGCATTGTATAATTGTATACATCTTATAATAATACTCGTATATAATGTCATACGATTGAAATACAACCATATTGGGCTAATGGCTTGTACATTTTATTAAATATTTCACAAGCAGTAATTGATGGCATATGTATACCTTATACTGCACTTGAAATCAGATAGATAACAAAAAAAAAAAAAAAATGAGGAAGCGAGAGAGAACCGGACATTATGTAAATTCGTCTTCTCATACTCATGTATGTATACGTGTAACAACAAGGGGAAAATCCTAGTGCTATGGATAAACGGGTCGAATGTTTGGAATGAAAAACGTACTGTTGTAGTATAATATTATTAGCATATTATGGAACAGCGGCAGCCACCGACTATAAAATAATATATCTGTACAAAAGATTCCTCGCCTTATCTGTGGTCTAAAGAATATAACATCGATGTGTGATCGCACGCGCGCGGCGTGTGTGTGCAATGTATATGCGCTCGCAATGTAATCCTCCTGGCTCTTTGGCAATGATGTTCATCTGAACATAATAAAATATTATTCCATTACTACGATAAAAATCTTAAAAAGAAATGCATACGTAATAACACGAGTTCATATACTAACATCATACAATTTAAGTTGTATGTATTTTTCGTGATACGGTAATAATTTAAGTTTTCATAATAAAACAATATATAGACACATAGCGAGAGAGAGAGAGAGTGATGAAGTATAACACAGTTGTTTTAAAATATTGAAAATAAGTAATATAATAGAAGATAATGAATAACGTAGTACTCGTATTATAGTTAGATTAAAAAAAATATAATTTTTATATTTTTGGTTTACATTTTAATGATATTATCTGAAACCAATTATTATAAATTATGTCACATTATAATAATAATAATTTAAAAACTTTAAAAATTATTAATTATTTTATAAATGGTTAAGAAAAATAGATTAAAATCATTCTTTCTAATACACATAGTGTTATTAAAACTCACGATATGATATTATTATATTCCATTAGCATTTATTTGTTTTTTATTTTATTTTAGTGTAATGTTTCAATTTAATGTACCATGTGACCCGTTATTTTATGACCAAAATAAAATAAACATATTTAATTGTACGGTATATTGTATTGTGTTCATAACTTAGGTAGCTATTCCACCCGTTAAACTATAATAATAATTATATATGCATGTCCGAAAGCATTTGTTTAATTCTCCAAGGGTTTCTCCCTGGCGTAGTCGAAAATTATGTAAATTGAATTTATTGAGAATTGATACTAATAGAAAACAAACACTCTCTAAGTAATACGTTATATTGAAAAAAAAGTTTATTATATTTATTATTATTTTATGTTTTCACGTACTATTACTTAGAACCTTAAAAACCGAATTACCGCAAAATATCCTAACATAAAATCATATTATACGCACGCAAACACACACACAAACATAAACACAAAACGTACCCGTTTATACGCGATTTAATAATACATTTTAACATAATAATACGTAGGTGGTACACTATATATTAAAAACATAAAACCGATTGGAGTACCATTTTTCGATGTGTGATCGATTACGTAAAAAATACTAATGATTTATTACGAGTATTGTTATTGGTAAAACACAAAATATAATACAGTCAGTTATTTTATCCTAACACATATAATAACTACTCTTTCCATTTAAAAAATCGGTAAATAAATGGCTGAATTACTACTACTATTACTTTGGTTATTGTCAAAATTCAACGTTGAAATATAACATAAACTTTGATATTGATGAACTCATTCATCTTATTATATTTTATAATATAATAGCATTAAGTATATATTATTTTACATATACGAGATATTATAAACTAAGATTTTAACTTATATAATTCATAATATAATACAAACAAAACAAATAGTTTGTATTATTTTAATTTTTCCAAATAGTATGTTAGTATAGAAAATAATATCATAGTATATTATTATTTATTATTGTAATTTTAACTTAACACTTTTTTTCTACATTTAAAAAATATCGATAGTGCGTTTTACAGTGCAATTTGACATTATTGTGCTTGAGCCTTGAAGCGTTTATTTTTCCATCTAGAATACATGAATAAAAATGTGTATTGTATTTACTATATTATTATATCATGATTGCCTTGGTTAAATAAATTGATCTAAAATACCGTGTGTTTAAGTGTATGAATTGAGAGTTAAAGTCGCTAACATTTTATTTTTTTTTATTGAAAACAGTTTTACAGGATTATTGTTTAAGCAAAAATAACGAACAACAGTGAGTTAGTCCACTATATAAAATACATTTTCATGATGTTTTTAAAGTATTTACATTATTTCTACTATTCTATATTTATTTTTTTATACCTATATTTTTACTTTTTTATTTTTGCGTTGTTATACGAAATTATATTATAGTATTATAATTTATTTTACTTTTTAACTAAAATGATGTAGGATATATCTATAAACGTTTTTTCTAAACTTTGTTATTGCTGCATTTATACTGAATATGATTTATTTATGCTCGTTCCCATTTTTTTCTTTAAAAATAAATTTATCAACATTTTGATTTTTTAAATTTATAAGCATACGTTTACTACTTTATCAAGGACCATATAATCAATTTTTTAGATTATTTATCAGTGAACAATATGATAATATAATAAGTGTAAATAATGACAATTTATATTTATTTATTTTTTTAAAAGAAAAAAATTATATTTATTGGTGTATTTAAGGCAAACAAAATGACTTATTGTAGTAACTTTATAATTGTACAGTATATATGATATAGTATATAGGTACTAAGGATAATGGTATTTATAAACTTACATAACCTCTATGTATATCTATTACTATTGGACCTATTATCCTCAATACATAAACTTAAATAACTAAAATACTACTCGTTTTGATTTCGATTTAGATACATCTAGAAAAAAGTTATTTTCTTAACAATTTATAGGAAAATGAGAGATTTTCAGTTGAAAAAAAATAAGTTGGTATTATTTTCAAACACTCCTTAAATTGTAAAAAATCATAATATTGAATATAGTATATGCTTCTTAAATATTATGTATGAACATTCCGAAAATCAGTACTTAAATAAATGCATTATTAAATTAAAAATGTGGATCATTATAATATCTTGTGAATCATTATGTATGAAATGTATTGACACTAGTATAAAATGTAAAACATTGAGTAGTACGAGTCTTATAATAATAAAATGTTATTTGAGCTGTTAAAAGATTGAAATAATATTGAATCGGCGTTATAAAACGTAAAAATATGAATCTACACTCACCAGCAGATTGGGTGAGCATTGCACAAATATATCCTAATTAAATTCTAGTTCGTAACTTTACAAATTTATATAATATTATAAATGTATAATATATTACTATACATCTATTTTATGCTAATTCCGTTCCCTTATCAACATATGCGCCCGCGCATAGCACATATTTTTTTTGTTTGAAAAATATGCATTAAACGTTGATACTATAGGTACGTACATAAAAATAAAATAAAAACGTGGTTGACACATAATCGAATGGTATTGTAATTTACAGCATTCCAACATTTCCAGAACGGTTGTTATTTTAGTTTGAAATTTCTAAACACAATCTACTTGAATACAAACGATATTGGAACATAAAAATTCAAGAATAAAATACCCTTTATTAAAATATCCAAGGTTAAAGTAACCTATACTTACAAAATCTAAAATAAAATAACCAAAATAACCAACAGATAGGAAGAACACCTAAATCAATAAAAAAAAAAAAATAAGAAAAATACAGTCTATTTAAAAATTATAAATATTAAAATATATTTTCATTAAAAAAAAATCTTATGGAAGTTTCGATGATTGCTTAGAGTGAGAGAGAGAGTTGGGGACGTTGTGGATCTACATTCTATAGAAAAACAATTTTAATAGCCTGTTTGAAAAACTAAAACTACTTATCTAAAGACTACTCTCTATCTAAAAAAAAAATATAGACACAATTTAATATACTCTTATAAAATCTTAAGTATGTGCTTTAAAAAAAAAACACAGGCAAGCAATTAATTAAAAAAATCATTGAGATATTGAGTTAAACATAAAACAATTAATATTTTCAATATATAATAAATAAAAAAAAATATGATGTATTATATACTAATTGGGCTTAAATAATAATTTTAAATATATTTAATGATATAAAACTAACTATGCAGTTGATTTATTTTTATAAATATTGAAAAAATATACTTAATATAAAATAATCACTCATTTTACGTTATAAGTTTAAATATTCATAAAATATCATTAAAATGCACAGTGCACAAATATTTAAATAATTAAGATAACATTTAACTTCACTGTAGTATGACACCAATTTATATTTTACTTAGAATGTTCTAATAGTATACAAATACTATAGATTCCAAGCTCTGATATCTTTGATTATAAAAATAAACCATCCTGTTGTTTGTATAAAATCATATACGAGTATGACGATTGTCAATAGGCAAAAATGCTAAACAACAGATGTTCACTTTTCAAGAGAAATACTCAGAATTAAAATTGTCGTATATTCTTTTTACGTACGTATATTTTCAGCATATATATATATAAAAAAAATCCGAAGAAAAATAAGTACGTAATAATTTTATAATTGTATATTTTGTATTAAATTGAAAACAATTAATAAACAAGTCAATAATACCTATAGAAGTTGAACGTCATACGTTTGTCTGATAACTCTAAAACATTTCAGTGAATCGCTTATACTTTTACAAAATGACATTCAGCCGCTATTTTTAGCATAATATTTGCGAGTAAATTTCGCTTGTACCGAAAATTAAGAATATATTATTATGTAATGTTTAAACATTCAGATAGAAGCGTTAACACTATAGTGCATCCGAAAGCTTTAACTTTCGGTTATCCCGTTGTATACATCACGTGCCCTTTTCGTATTTTACCAGTGGATAATGTATCTGTCAGACAATTACGTATTCACGTACACTGGACCTTGACTCTGCATGACTTCTGTGTGTGAGTGTGCGGGTATTTTTATTTTACTGTACATCATAAGTACGCAGTTTAAACGTAAACAATTTTATATTATACATAATCTGAATCTTCAACATCGTATACGAATCGCAATGTTAATTTTATGATTGTGCCTTTTCAGATGCGCCGGGCTGCAGGACAGACCGGGTGATGGTGATCGGCGCGTCCCGGGGTGAGAGCATGAACGTGCCGTGCGAGGTGGACGCTGATCCGCCAGCCAAAGGGTTCCGGTGGAAGTTCAACAATTCGGGAGAGACGATCGACATCGGGCCGGAACGGTACATATCCAACGGCACGTCCAGCGTGCTCAGGTACACACCAGTCGCCGACCTTGACTATGGCACGCTGTCGTGTTGGGCTACGAACGGGGTCGGCCACCAGTCAGTACCGTGCCTATTTCAAATGGTTGCCGCCGGTAAGCACTTTAATTCATTTTTTACGTCTAGTAACATTATATTATATACTCGTATATATATACATATGGATAAATATTATGGGAGTAAATACTAAAATGCCTCGCACTTTCTGGTTTTTGTTTTTTTTTTTTTTTTTTGTTAGTAGAAATAAGACAACAATTGCTTACGGAATAACTAAGATACCAATAAGGATATTTTTTTTTCTCAAATGTTGATAGTTTATTAAGTTGAAGTTTTACAAATCCATAAAATATTGATTTTGAGTTCTTGAATTCTTAGTTTCATAATAGCAATACAATTATAAGTATTATATCATAATATGTAATTTTTTTTTTTAATGTGGCCCTTGATGAACAATTGAAAAAAAAAATGTCCCGTGTGGTTAAAAAGGTTGCCGACCCCTGTACTAAACCAATTTATCTTAAGGATTTATATACAATTTATACAATATAATGGGTGTGTATATGTATATAAAATAATGTGTAACACGATTTCGTTGTAAATAATTGTGGCTTTATTTTTTTAAATACAAACAATATTAACCATGCATAGTAATGACTAATAATAGCAACAATATTGACTATTGGTTTTTTGTTATTTCTTATAGTTTAAATTATTTTATGTATTTTTGTACTTGGTTGTCAATAATCTCGAACTTATCAATACATCATGTATTTCGAATATTTAAATACTTGATTTGACGTAAATTTTTCATTTAAGAATGTTGATATATTTTAAAAAATATATAAGTTATACCAATTAAAAATAAAATGTAAATGCTAATTAACCATTTAATGAATTGTTTTTTTTTTCGTTCTTTTAAACTTTTTCCCTTGTATTATTCAATAATAATTATTTTAAAATTAAATAGACAATATTAACATATTTCTTAAATGATTTACGCAACGACGAATACATACAGTTTAACCTTTATAAATAAATTATATAGGACCATAAAAGTGCATATTTTCTTTTATAAGATCGCGATATAATTATCATAATCTCGTAATTCATTTTGCGTTTTCTTCACCATTTAGGTAAACATTATAAATGTTAAAAACAAATTAAACATTTTCATTTATATTATATTATTTTAATATTTCACCATGGTTATTTGTACTGTAGAAATAAAGAAAAAGAAAAAAGTGGGTATAGGTACCATTTTGCTAAATGTAGTGGGCATCGAGTGGATTATTGTAATAAATACGTTAAATTTGAATTCAATGATAGGCACACCGTTTTAAACGAAGAAAAATTTTGAGTGGAGACGTTCTATCGATCTATTATAATTTATATTACTATAACTAACTATATTCCAAAAAATCTTGGTTTTTTTACATTTCTTGAATTATGTATTAATATAAAATTATAATAATAGGTTATTTTAATACTATACCTTATGCCTTATACTATACTGCATATAACCTATATCCTGTATAATTATTAATAATTTTTAAATCAATATTACGTAATCGTAAAACGTTTTTTATTCAACGTAAAATTTTTCATCGACACTAATTAATATAAAACTAAATAAAATCAACTATTTTTCATGCTAATAAATAATTTAGAAAGAGACATAATATTACGATAATGTTATTATGTAAAGCAAATGATTATTAAAAACATTTTTTAACTATGAAATAAAACTGGTTTTGAGTAAAATTGCTTGTTTTTCCTTAATTTGTATTTGTTTTTTTTCCAAATATTTTAAAAATACTATAACTTATTGACTACTTATCGTGTTTACATAGTTGACATAGGTAAATAGAAACAAAAATATCAAAATATACATATAAAACTAAATGTTTATAATTTTTAAATATGCATACAAGCACATAACATTTAAAAAAATGTTATTTTACGTAAGAAGTGTCTTGTTAAAAAATAGTTTCATTATTATTTGAATTAAGAAGATATGAGGTAAATTGACGTTATTTTGATTTTGGAATATTAATCTATCTACATTAATAATTTATCATAAATATTTTTTGTAAGACCATCATAAATTATAAAAGCTCTTTACTTTTTTTTAGTTAAATTCAAAAAAATTTGTTGTATTTAATTTCAATTTTTTTTTTTTTTATAAATACATCTTTTTTTTAGATATACGTAATAAGTTCTATTTACAGTGAACATTTAACATATTACACGTGGAATTAAGCAATTATTTCAATTAGAACATTTAGGCAAATACGTGTTTCATATTTAATAGATAAGTACTTATAGACAACAAATGCAATTAATGATTATATAGTGATACATATTTTTTTATTTATTAAATCAGTAGGTACTGAAAATCATTTAAAAATTTGTTTTTATTATTATTATTATTATTTACGTTGGTTCTACCGTTCGAGTTTTCTTTATGGAAAAAAAAATATATATATAAAAATATTAATAATAAAAGTTTGTAGTGTACGAAACAGAATACAAATCGATTAAAAACACTGACAACATAATTTAATGCGTTTTTGTACTCAATATATTAAAATAACATTTTGATGCCGTAATATTTATTACGGTTTCGTTGATAGTTTTTTTCTGAAAAAAAGGAGAAAAATAGTGTTCGCCTATAACGGCTAAAACCGTGTAAATCATATTTTATTATTGTTGTATTATGTTCAAATCGATAGAGTTTTACAAGTGATGCCTTGATGTTATAATTATTAAAAATATTTCATTACCAATACCAAGTGGCATGCAATGTTCGTGGTTATTATTTACCGTGATGAAACCTCAATAACTATTTATTGAATAATAATAAGGTGTGTGTGGTCTACTGTAATTGTTTCATAAAACATGGCATCTATTCAAAGCTTTTTTGGAAAATACATTTATACATTTATAATTTATATACATTTATACATTTATATATTACACATATCTTTAAGATAAACAAACATACAGTTTTATAAAAAAAAAAAAAAAAAAACAATAATATTGTAAACATAACAGACAAATTCAACTTTTATTTTTTCTAAGTATTGAACGTAGACACATCATAAACATTAGTTATGTTTTAGTTGTTTTAACAATAATTGAAAATAATCTAATAATCTGAATAACAAATTCTATAAGTTTTATAATTCTGCGTGATTAATTACGTTACAGATGGCAATACAACTTAGTAATAAAAAAAAAAAAAAATTAGAATATTTAATGTACATATAACATAAAATAACGTTAAATAGAAAACTAAATATTAAAATAACGTTTAAAAACATAATAACGTTAAAAGGCAGTAATACAATAACGTTTGGACGTAAAATAATGTTAAATGTTATAATGACATAACGTTAAATTCCCGAACACGTAAAAATAATAAATTTTTTTTTTAATCAAAGTCCCGATATCTGTACAGGCTATTCGCTGCGTTTATATAAGCATAGGTATTATTTACAACTTAAGTTAAATATTATATTGCAACTTTATCCCGCAACGTTTTATTTCCAAAGTTCACGGTTTTAGATGACTTAGATGACTTGGTGACTTACAAACGCGTACCTATCGTCGTTACTGGCATAGCGTCGTGTCGGCGAGTTACTTACTATCATATACCTTCTATAATAATATTATGAAATGTATCATCTGGTGCAGGTAAACCGCAATCGGTGCATAACTGCACTATCCAAAACAACACGGACGGCGCGGTGGAAATACAATGTGAACCTGGCTATGATGGTGGCCTGCAGCAGGTGTTCGTGCTGGAGGTGTTCGCCGAGAACCTGGACAGCCAAACGGATGGCAAGGAATTGTTCCGGAACATGACGGACCGGATGTCGCCACGATTTTCGCTGGGCAAAGTTGCGCTGGGCGTGCTGTATACGGCGCAGATGTACGCTGTGAACGCCAAGGGAAAGTCCACTGCCGTTATTTTGCCCAAATTTTCGTTTCCCAGCTCCGAAAATCAAATGGGTGAGTACTGTCATCCTACGGTTTTTCATAAACTAGTCCGGGGGTTTTCGGCTTTTTTGAGCAGTGGACATTCGATCTTACAAACGATTTTTGATTTATTATTACTATTATTATTATTACTTTTTTTTTTATTGATAATAACACCTCAAAAACTGGGTCCTTACCAATAGATGCTTAGATCTATTTATTTTACCAAAAAAGTACAAATTAATTTCCCTAATAAAAATTATCGTTTGTTTAATCATATTTTCGTCAGATACCATGTTTTAGTATTATGATGCAGATAAATCGATACATTTTTTAAATTATAGATTTAGGTTTTATTCACATGTAAATATATCGTTTATTTTTAGATAAGATATTAAACATAGTTTTTTTCTTCGCTAATTTGTCTATTTTTGGTCGTATTTGAGATGTTTTAAAAAAAAGTTATCTCACTATTTTTGAATCAGATAATGTTTTATATACATTCTAATATTTAAACAGGTATAAATAATTGCCTTTGTTAAACAAGAGCACCTTAAAAAATACGTGTTATTTCTAAAATGTGTTCATTGTACTCAGATTAAAACTTCTTGTAACCCGGGTTGAAGAAGACCACTAGTATATACACATCCATTATTCGGTGCGAGGTGGTCAATCGTTAAGTGTATGGAGGGGGAGATTTTAGACATTTAAAATTATTAAATTCTTTCCCCAAATGTTACTTTAATTGGTGGAATTTTTTTTTTCTATAGTTTATGACATACAGTACAGGGACGGCTTTTATTATTCTTAGAACTATTCAAACAAACAAATTTTGTGTGATATAAATTTATAGATTTACCAATTAACATACTTAATACATTTTCAAAAATATATTACATACAAATGAAGTTTTATTAAAATTTATAATCCACTACGGTAGAGTATAATAGTAAACATTTTACATAATTCATCTAAAAAATATGTTTTTATTATTCTTATTAAAAACTTAACATTTAAATTAGTTTAAAATTATATTAATTATAATAATATATTCAAGTATACCTACTTAATGATTGCTTAATTACTTAATCTAATATTAATTTTCGCTTTTGTCATTTTAACCGATATTGTTAAAATAGTATTATACTTAGATATGGCGTAAACCGTATATTTCTCAAATAGTTATAATTATTTCTTCACAAATCATACCATTTTAAATGTTGTAACCTTTATATTTTTTACTGTTTGCGAAATAAAAAACCTATTATTCTTGGACAAAAAGTAGAACAATGACTCTTCATTCGTCAACGATATTAGTAAGTTCATTGAGATTCAATGCAGTACAATAATTGATGACTTCATTTTTTGATATTTTCTAGTTGTTGTTGTTTCAAACTAACAATACAATAATTTATTAATTCACCTTAAATTTATCCAAATAATTTCGTATATTATTCATTTATAAATCCATATTATTACTATGAGATAGCAATTTTGTTATTTTTTTTTTTTTTATATTAAGTTAACAGTCCACGTCTGCTGTGGTCATTGGATGTAAAGACGTATTACATAATATTTTTAAGGTAGCATATAAATTAAATGAGATAAAACAAAATAAAATAGGTAGATAAATATAGATAAATTAATATAAAACATAGATTTAATGTGGTAGTGTAATGGTTAGTAGATGCTCGTTACATTATATTTATGAGATGTGTTAGCGATAGAAATTTGCTGAGTTAGTTAATATTTGCAAGATTGAGGCTTAATATTTCCGATACCTAGGTAATCGGATATTTGAAGTTTCATATTGTATACTCTATATTCGGTAAGAATATTATGTTAGACAGTGAGGGGACTCTTTTGAGTATCAATGCAGATAGGGAGTAGGAGTATCTTTCTTCATTAAATATGAACGCGTATGGTGTATGTGTGTATTTAGTTAGTGGATATTTTATAACATTTATTACAACGTAATAAAGTTATAAATTAAAATTATAAAATTATATCACAATTACGTACACCATACACAGTTTTAGAAAAATAAATCTTAAATTACTAACAAGCTAGATAATTGTATATGGAATATTTTGTTTAAACTTATTTTTTGTTTCTAAATGTTTTTATTAGTCAGAAAAAAATATTCAATACCGTTAATTATTATTGATACCCACTAAATTTTTTCGATATCTCATACAAACTATTACAAAATATATGATGAATACATCACATTTTTTTTTTTTTTAAATATAGCAATGTTCTTATTCCAACTTACAATAGATTAATGGTAGCTTTTTGCTGATAAAATAAAAATGAAATGGTTCAAACGTATACTTTTCTAAATTTTAATGGTATCATTGATTTCTGTATCTTTTCTAATGCTGTATTAATGTTTGAATGACAGACGCTTGGATAAAGTGACACCTAAATCCTCAACTAGATTTATCCTTGAAAGTAGTATACCAACAATAATGTAATTTAAAACAATTGATTTTCATCAACTATTACGTGAAAAAGACATTTGAAAACACTTTGATTTATTTAAATCTAAAATACTTCTGTAACATAACTTTACAAAGCAATAAAGAGAAATAGAGAATGACAATGCATAACATAGTATGTATATTTAATTATTATTATTATTAATATATTATTAATATTATTATTATATAGGTAGTAATAAATCAATGAGAACTTTTTAAATTTTCAATGAATAAAATTGAAAAAAATACTTTAAGACTTATTATAAAATATTAGTTCATTCAGCCGACGTTAAGTTAGGTTGTAATGATGTAAGTACGATTATTATTATATTATATTCTGCTGACTTTTTTTGTAATAATATTATTCTATGTAGATAGAATTCAGTTTTAATAGTAATACGTCGTGTTTAGCCGACTTAGCTGATGTAGCTTACGAATTCGAGAATTGTACGCAGTTTTTCAGTCGATGTCCGCCTCTGCCGTCTCGGGTGGTTTTGGATTTGATGTATCGACAAGCGTTTCTCAATAATATGCAGTACATAATACAATTGTAAACCAAAATCAATACCAAATTGTTGGAAAAAAAAGAACGACCTCACCTGGTTTAAACTCGTAGTTAGAGTTCTTGTTTTTGTTGTTTAATTTTCACATTTAACGACACAATTAACCTAATTTTTTATGGCTCTATATACTTCGTTGTCGTCGGACCAAGGGCGCAAGTGCTGGAATACGAAAGGTTTTTATTATTACTATTATTATTTTCTTACGATTTTTGTTCATGTAGAGTCGAGTTTAAGGCCAAACCCGATTCCGATAAAATTAATGGTGTTATTTCGCGTACCAGGGATAATAATTATATACATTTTTGCAAAACATTGTAGTACAATAATGGTTGTGTGTTTTACAAAAGTTCATCAATTTTGAAAAATGTCTCAATACTATTAATCTCATTTAATTAATTATATTGATCACAATATATACTGTTTAGTTGTTTTCCAATTGTATATAAATCTTAGAATATATTATTATTTCGTAATGATTCTATGGATTATTATTATTTATTTATTTATTTTTTTTTTTGATTATTTATAGGTACTCGACGCTATCTCTGTGTGATGCTAACCATTATTTAATACTCTTAATAGTATTAAAATGATCGTTTTAACAATCACTCGCTATTATTATTATTTAATATTAATTTTTATCCCTGTAATCTTTATTTTGTATTCTATACCTATTTAAAAGTCTTTATACCGGTTTTTCTAATTATAAAGCTTTGCCAAAACTGCGATTGAATTTTTTTTTTATTTTTTTTTTTATTTTTCATTTATTTTTTTTTTTTTTTTTTAATGAAACAGTAGTGCTAAATATTCCACCGTATATGTATATTATATTTTTTAAATATTATTTCAATTTAGCCATCGATAGACGAATCCATAATATAAACGGTTTTATCGTGCATCACATAACCTTATGGGAACGCTTACTCGTTAAATAATTCAAGTCCGCTGCAAAGGTCAGCATAATGGAAAAAAAAATCGTTGGCTTAACTTTAATAACGGTTAAGCTTACCTACCTATTCACACAATATTTTATTATATTTATAATGTCGGACAAAATGACTCTGAAAAGGAGTTGTGGGAACCGAAACTCTATACGAGTGTGTGTATCTGTGTGTATATGCGAACGCGGGCACGTCTCCGAGAAAAGGATTAATTGAAACTTTCAAGATACTGGACAGGCACAAAGGAATCATATTACTAGGTAGTGATAGTAGTAGTATGATACTTTCGTCGACTCCTCAGAAGCTATATTTACCTCGTTGGTCTTTTCTATAGGAGATGTGGCGTGTATATTATATATATATATATTATATATATAGTATATGTATAGAAGGATGGTGATGATGGTAACGCCAAGAAGACGCTATATTATTATTATTATATGGGTACGCAAACTCAGTGAGAGAGGAAACAAAATGAATAACTGAAAAGAAGTCTGCAATGAATCGGGATGGGTCTTATAAAATACATTAAAATATACGTATATTTATTTATATATATATATATATATAAAGTACACTGATATTTAGCGCCAGAACTTTTCAAAACCAATGAGTTCATTAAAATTTAAAAAATACGGTGATGATCCATGCATAACTTTTCACGAGTTTTAATCTAAAATGAAAATATTTATGTAATGAATATTATCATATCATTATTTTTAATATTCAAGTTATGATGAACTTTAAAAAAAAAATAAATAAGGCGAGTGTTACAAAATTTAAATATATTTATTTTGTTATTAGTTTTTGAATCTTATGAGTAGACTCGTTACAACACATGTTTTAAACCAGTTATAATACAAGCTGTAGCTTTACAGTTATTCAATTTTTTCTATACGACGACGACGTTTAAATATCATTCTATTGTAGTTTAAAATTCAATCTTATACCACAATGTACCTACGGGAGGATACTATTGTTACGCTCAGGCTATATTTTTTCCTAAAAAAAAAAAAAAAATAAACGCATTACCTACGGTTTTTCTGAGGATTCACGTGAATATTTTAAGTTACCGTACATAAATGCTATTATAATATGCGAATATTGTATAATATGATATGCACCCTATATTAAACTGTCCACGGGTCGTACGGCACTCTACCGTTTAATTATTAACAACCATTGCTGTATCCTTTTTAATAAAGTCGCAATAATGTTTTCCTCCCTGACTATTTTTTGCAGATTTTCACAAGCCCAAAAGTGTTTGTGAAATTCCACGGATATCGTTGAGTGTACACGTTCGTCCCGCGGCGACTTGCGAAGAACGTTTAATAAAATATTTATAACAAGCGCGCGCGGTGCATATTAAACGAAAAACGACACACAGTTCTCTTTTGACGATGGTTCGTACGAAGGAACTTTTGGCAAGCTTATTATTCATAATTAAATTCAATCTTGTTGAGTTTTCTGGCGGATCGTCATCGTTGTAATATTCGACTTACCTGTGCCACAGCAGTGCTACATCTACATACGGCCTCCACACCCACATTGTAACACTCCGCTGAGTCCGTCTTAGCCCACATCTTTAATTGCAAACTAATGTCACAAATATAATGGCGATGGGGCACGTATAACTTGTCAAGTGCACGAGATCTTCACAAAGTGAACTTTAATTAGCTATAAAGTATGATTGGTTAAAACATTATACAGCGACGCAAAATCCCTCATCGAAAATCTTCAGATATATATATATATATATATATATATTATATAGAAATATGCGAACATTGCGCACGTACGCTACACATCGTGACATACTAAAAATAATGACAAGTATTATACTACGGCTTAGGTATATGATATAACGGTAGCGCGTGTTGTTGGTCCAATGTTAAAATATATTATTTTCATCTTGATCGCTTTTAATGAATATCGTAGCGTTGTTTAATCATGCGTATGACCATTTAAAACTAAAAGCGAAATAAAATTATACTAATATGAGATAATATATTTTATAAAATAGTTTTAATTCAATTTCAATAGCCGCTGTTAAATGATATTATACATCATATCTTTATAAAAATAACGAGTGAAGTCTGAATTCTAGATGATTATATAACTGTATGACATACTGTTGTTTTTTTTTGTCATTTGAATAATATTACAAAGCACACTCATAAATACCACAGAATATTGTTGACAATGTTTAGCATTTCATATAACATGTCTTTATTATAATAAGATATAATAAGAACAATAGAGAAAAAATATTGATTTCTAACGCCATCTAACGAGATGATGTTTTAATACAAAATATTGTGTAATACATAAAGCGGTAACTACTTTTTTTAAAACTTTTAAATGGTATTCAGCAATATTATTTTACATTATTTTTCAAGTTGAAACAAAAATATGTTTTCTACGATAAGAATACAAACATGTATAAATTGTATGGCATTATGTTTAGAAAATTAGAATACACAACGTTATGAAAAAAATAAATTATGGTTAAGAACATTATTTATAAAAATATAGAGGCCATATTTCGTCCAAAATTTTCAACAAAGCTAAAAAAACCTTTCACTGATAAAAAGCATCATTATATATATTATGCCATACGTATTCTCTAAAATGTACGATGTATACAACCAAATTTTAACACTGAATTAATAAAAAAAAACTTAATATGTAAATTTGGGAAGATGATTTACTTTTTTAAATTTCATTCATTGTAAAAATAACTAATTTATATAACTGATATAGAGAAATCACATTTGGATACTACTGTAAGTGTATATTTTAGTTATAATATAAAATGTAATAAATATTTTAATTATCAAAAATGTTACAACTTACAATACTACTTCTCGTAGATAAAATTCTAATTTATATTTAATTTTATAAATAGGTTAATATTATAATAGTACACTATTATTGCTTTCAAAAGTTTCTTTTGTACGTCAAATAGTACAATAGTTTAATGGTAAAATTATCGTTGTTAAACGATAACGAAATATAGTGTATTGATTTAACTTCACGTGATTTTGAATATATTTAAAATGTGTAAATTTGTTTTTAAATTCGTTAAATAATCATTTAATCTTAATTTTTTGTAATTTTTCTTTTATAGTCCAAAGTATCTAGTTAATACGTACAATCTTTACATAAACATCATTATTGTTGCATTCTATATTTGAAAGCTTTAAATATTTAAAATATACAATTCATATCCTTGTATTGAACACAAATTTTAACAATAAATTTAAATTCAAAATATGTACCATGAACAGACTATTAATTATAGATTTCGTGGACATTATTGTTATACCCAATGGATTGAGCTTGTGCATAAAAATAGAATATTCAATGATTGAACCAATTATAATACTATTATAATAGTAGTTGTTGTACAATATATTTATGTATAAACAATTGAACGATTCAATATGCTAGTATTAGTTCGAGTTTTCAAGCGGATTATTAGTTTTGAAATGTTAGTTTAAAGTACTTAATAATAATAAATAATAATAATAGTAACAATCATTTCGTCGTTCACAAAATGGTAAAATAGTAAACGCGCGCGTTGTTTTTGTTACAATCATCGGGTTTAATGTTGTTAATCGCAATTTGTATTTTATCCATGCGTTGAATCACACGCTTAAACTAATGTGTTTTACAAGTTTTTATTTGATTTTTATAGGATTTGGCGTTGAAGTGTTAAAAGTGTCACCAATGGTAATAACGATAGTGAGCGTTTGCCTGTTGCTCATCGTGCTGGCAATCATCGTTCTTGTTAAATTGAAGACGGCGAACAGCAGAAAACGCAACTCACGGCAACCAGCCGGTGGAGACAAACAAGTGATTGTCCACCAAAGGAGTAACGGACAAGTAGCCTCGTCCATTCTAGAAACGGATACCGATCCTGACCTGATTCAAGTGAAATACGGTAATTAATATATTAATTTTTCGTTTTTTAACGAGTAAATTACATAAAGTCGATATTTTACTTGAATAATTGGCATAATATTGGCCATGCGAATGTTTAATTACTTAAAACCATGTTTTTGTTGAATCCACATTTATTGATGGTAATATTCTGGTATGCACCTATAAGTAGGTATTATAATAGGTATAACTACATAAGTACATATTATAACTTTATTATTAAATACGATACATTAAATGTGTACATTTTCAAAATTTATGTGACGTTAGAACTTATTTGAAAATGAATCAATTAATATATACTTATTATGCATTGACTTCGTGACATGTAAAAAGTAGTTTAGGTTAATGATATTATTTTAAAATAATAATTTTTATGTATAATATATATTGCTTCCGAAAACTTAATTTTATAAAGTACGTCGTACCGTATTAATGTAGACAAGATAAGTCTGAAGTACATGCATGTCGTTCGGTACTTTCGAGGTTAGACGATTTTGTTTTCTACGGTCGGATTGAAAACAATCACCGAATAATAGAGTAGTTTATCAGTATGCTACATACATAAATAACTCTTAATTCTAGGGAAACTTCTGGAAAACATAATCTTATCTACGAAAGTATTATATATATATCATAATAACGACGGTGGCGTGGTAGCCGAAACATAAATAATAAAAAAGAAAGGTGTCCGATAAGAGTATGTTTTTCTAACCAATATGTATTATAAGGTTTATATATACACTATAGGCAGTTATAGTTCTAATAAATTGATTCGGTCATTCATCTTGCGCCGAGTAAAATATTACTCGAAAATTAAATCAAATCTGTTTTTATATATATATATATATATATATATATATAAGCAGATACACATGTATTAAATAAATAATAAATATTAATATGAGTTAGGTAGAGACTATATATTATTGTAAGGCATGTTTCATCAAATAATACGTAGATATACCTTAATACTTGTTCTCAATGATAATATTATAATTTTATGGCATTCATAATCGTTATGTGAACAGAATGAGTTCCGTATGACGTATACCGACACGCCGAGCATCATTATTTTTATGTTTTTTTTTTTTTTACTACCATATTACCGTATTTATTATTTATAAACGGTTAAATTTCGAAACGCGTACTCCCAAATATCGCGTAAGCTCATGTTTTGAATAAATTTGCATACGGAAATTCGATGAATTATAATATAAACTGTATAATTAAAAATGCGTAGTTTTAATTTAATAAAATCACGCCAGTGGTGTATGGGAGCGGATCGCTCGGCACTGTGTATGTCTTTTGAATATTATGACGTGTATAATACGTATATTGTATACCTGTATTAAATGGATACGCATGACACGTGTCGCTGATAATATTATATATTACAATTAACGTTTTGTTTTCTGACATTATTTCCGACACGGTGTTCCTTCCAAAGGAAACTTAACTACGTCATCGTCGAATACAATTTTGTAATATATCATGAATATATATCAAGGCAGACGAAACGTGGTTGATATTTGACGATCATTCAATCTTTGTCACAATAATAGTATTATGTTTTACTTAAACCACGTTTATGTATACTATATATAGTTATAACATGATTAACGTGTTGGTTAATCCAGATATAATATAATATGAAGAAAATACACTAAAATAAAAACAGTTTTCATCTTGTTTAAACTACGTTTGTTCAAACTGAAATCACCAATATTTTAATTTTTAAATGAAAATACATTTAAAAATCACTAATATGTATACTTTTTTTTATTTTATTTTAAGACGTACAGCCTGTAAGTTAATTATTAAAATAAGTATGCATTCAGAAATATATAATATAACTTTCCATAGGTAGGTACATGATAAAAGCAACCACCCAATGACGACACTTTATTACCAATAATTAAAAAAGTTTTAGTAGGTAGATAATATTGTTATTATATTATTACGAGTAGTTGGCTAAAGGCGCTTCTCAAAATCATCGGATGCTTAGATTTCTGTTATTTAAACATTAAATGTTGATTTATAAAACAAACTAACTATTCGTTAAGTGTTTGATATTTTTTATTGTTGATGTGATTATAACATCCAATAAATGGTGAATACGGACCCATAACTGATGTGTAGAGAATCACTAATGTAGATTGTACAGCATTCTAAACAAATAAATATGTAAATATATAACCCAAGCCTTAGTAAAAATATTCAATGTATTTATTAAATAAAATATAATATGTGACTGCTATTTTTTATCGCAGCCGTAGTTTATTTATTTTATTTTTTTTTTGTATGTGTCACTACAATTATTATTGCGTGACACATTCCACATCATAAACACGCTCACATGTATAATAGATAAGTATAATATACAAGACTGGATTCACATATTTGCGTGCATTTTTCCAGCTTTTAAAATACAAACGTTCATATCGTGTATAAAGAATAGGTACGTGAGTATTTTGTTTCAAAATTAAATAAAGCAAACAATTATGATAGTATAGTATTCTGTAATAAAAAATAAAATAAAAATTATAGTTATAATTCGATTGCTGATTGTAAAATGTAAAACAAATTAAAGTAATAACTAATAATTTGATTACTGAATTTAAAATATAAATCATTATTCATCTTCATACCCTATACTAATACAAATAAATATATATTATATCATTATCCTAAATAAATAATTTTAATTCATTTCAGTTATTTAAAACAGTATAAAATATATATTAATTATGCAAAAATATCTACCAGCGTAGATAAATAGTATTATAAATAGTTTCTTTTGTCGCTTATAAATATTTTGTTAGTCATTTAATTAATTAGATAATAAATTAAACCAAATATTCTGGATAATTAAATAATTACTCATTACTCGTATGTGTGTACATATTGACTATGTACATTTTTATAAACGACATAAAATCGTAGTTGAATGGACATCATTTAGGCAGGTAATTTTAAATTTAATTACTATGTTTGTTTTATTTGGTTTTGGCTAGTATACTTACTACATATTTAGCGACCCAACATTGTTACGCATCGATATCTACTCAACTCAAATTATTTGATGGGCCCTTTATTGCTCCCGTCCGATTCACTGCGGCTATAAAAATACTATATTTTATTGGATAATACGAAATTCTATTAAATTGAACAAATTTAATACCGTAACGAGTATTAAACTTCAAATACCTAAATGTGTCGCGGCAATGATAAATTAATCTTAACTCATTATGAGGCAACTATGATAATATTATGTACGTATGTGTGATCTCCTCATACCGTACCATAAACACGATTTAGACTTCGTGCTCGTCACGCGTCACAAACGAGCAAATAAATAAACACTAATCCAATAGGCAATAACAATAATAATAATAATAATAACGATAACTATGTGTGTTATGGGCAGATCCATCGGACGCGCCAAAACTGCGCAACGGTGGCGTACAGTTCTTGGACGACGCGCACGATCCGTCGGTGGCTGGATGGATAGCCGCTAATGCAGCGGTCGCGCAGACGACGTCACAGTTGCCGTTGTCTTCGCCGTCGTCGTCATCGACGGGCACGCTGCGGAGGGGCGCTGGGACGGCGAACAACGACCGTCAACCGCCGCCGCCGCCGGTCGACGCCGTACGCCGTTGGAACGACGTCACGCCAAAACCGTTTAGCTACACGCACCACCATCAGCATCAACAGTCGCCGCAGCCGTCGCACCACGTCCGCGTCCGACTGGACCCGAACGAACTCGACGGGGCGGACATCAAGGAGAAGCTGATGATGTCCAGCGGTCACATACCCGAGAGTTGCGTGTGAACCGACGTCGTGCCCGGCGCATTGTACATACTATTATAATGTTATATTGTCGTATAATGTATAAGTAAAAGTGAAAAAAAAACAGTATACCGTATATTATGATATTGCGATACAACTGTAAATCGCATTTAAGTAGTAAGAACTGTGAAAAAAATATTAATGATTTTTAGACCAGCGTGGGCCCATGTAAATTTCACGACTCCCCGGACTTTTACCCTCTATGTGTATAATAATATTAATATTAATAATAATATATAAAAACTTTTCAAGTCGCGTACTTAACCGATTTATCGCTTCCAATCCTACGATAACGATAATAATAATGTTGTGTAGGTATATCTTTTTAAAAATAATCATATGAAAAATAAAAATAAATAAAATAACAATAATAGGTATAATAGCTGTATTGATCTAGTGTAATATAATATTATGTATAGGTAGTCGTTCGGAGTACCTTAGTCGAGTTTGTGTATTATCATAAAATACAATATAATATAATATATATGTATATTAAGATTAAACATGGGTCGTTGACGATCATTGACCCGCGCTAATAAGTTGTAATAATAAAAATATATAAGAGAATTGATAATAGATAGATTCGTTTCCCGCATGTAGTTCGAGCGTCCCGTACTCATTTAAATAATATTTTGTACTTATGTCCTCCGTAGTCGTTTTTGCTGATTATAATAATAATATAATATAGCCAAACATATATAATTAAGTCGAATTCTACATATAATTTATACTGTTTTACTAAAAAAAAACTTTGATTTAGTGTAATTTTGTTATGTATTAATATAACCGATTGTATATATTTAAACGTTACCTTTTATCCTATTGTGTTATGATAAGTATTTGCATAGTATTATTATGTAATAACTATAATTTAATGATCGTTGTTGTTTTGTTTTTTAAAAATAAAACTTTGTCATTTGTTAAATACTTTTCTCAGGTTGTGTTTCATTTTGATGAAGTAAAATAAATTACTCAGTAACAGGTACTCATAGTAGGTATACTATATACATGCAATTCCACCGTTTGAGGTTTTTACCTTATATTTTTTAAAATAAATATGCGCAATATACATTAATACTAATATATGATTCCCGTATTTTTAACTTATTTATTTTGTTTCTAAGCACAATATTGTCAGACAGAAAACTGTCCATGTGTAGCATAATGGTTAATACGAAAATGGATAACACCAGCTAATATACAATAATGAAACCTCCAAGTACATATAAAATAAGATGTAATTTTGCCAGAGAACTATGGTTAAATTTATGGTGTCGCCGAACGTATTGGGAAGAAAAATTAGATTTTAAAAGACATAAAAAAAACCTCATCGACCGGAATAACGCAGTCAGACTCGATGGCTACGCATCTTGAACCGCGTCTAATGGTGAGCGTAGAAATTCCGGGTAAATATCGTTTTTAATCTCGTCTCGGTCGTCGTCGTGAATAAACACGGGACCGACTGGCTGGAACGCTATTAGTTTTTCGAAATTGACCTTTTCTCGTAAACCTCCCCTCACTTTAACTCACACTCTTTATATCTATATCTCTTCATCCGCTGTCTAAAAGGCGCGCAAGCGGAGATATAAAACGACCTCGTCGGCTAAGGGTTAAGAAAATCGTTTTCACAGACGGCGGCGGTGACGACGGAAATTAATGGTCAACAGCCCTTTGACGTGTGTGCTGTTGTACACGATTTGTCTTTTCGCGAGCATCGTTCTCATGGCATTCCATTGGACCACACTCACCCATTCTATATCTCCGTCACCTTTCATCTCTCTATCAATCTCTTTCTCATGATCTGTCTAACCTTCCTCTCTCTTCTTAGACCTCTAACTGTATACGTATACGTATATATGTTTGTATATTGGATATCACATTCACACCAGGCGACGGTTGCGGCAGCGACGACTTTTAGCTATTTCACCAGGTCGAGACTGATTTGGCATGCAACTCGGTCAAACATGGTTTTATTTTTGGAACGGAAAATTTTCCCACTGATTGTGTATGATAATTTTGACTTTTGAGTAAGATCGCAAATGGTATGAGCAAGCATACTCATCGCGTCACACGTTTATTATTATTATTGTTATATAGGACTTGTGTTAAGTACTGCTGACGTCATGTAATAATTATGTTTTAATATATAATCCACCGAAAATAATGTTCGCAGTTTACAGTTTTGACAACATCCTGCTCAAACACGAATGAAACTTTTTAAAGTTGATTATACACATGTAGTGTGCGAGTCTACAAAACATAGAGCCTTATAATAATAAATTAATATATCGATAAAATATTGACGAATGGTATTATATCGGTAATTTTCAAATACTAAATATTTATTTTTATTTTTTGCTTCTTGTATTTCTTAAAAATCCCGAGGTACCCTACAGCAGAATACAAGTAGGTATACTAAGTATATTATACGTGTGCACTCTTCGGCATGGAATATCTACCGTTAATTTACTTATTATACAAGCATACCATGCAATGGTAGGATATCAGTTGAGAACTGATGTACTAAAAAGTATGTATCACTGGATTTAGCCTACATAAAAAAAAAAGGATTTATAAATTTAACTTTTTTTTTTATTTTATACGTGAGTACGATGTTAAAATGTTTAAAATTCAGGTTTATAATTAATCTACTGTGTAAAAAAGAAAAATAATATTTAAATTTATAGTTCTTACACGTAATTTTTTTAGGAAATATATGCTGCATTTTCCGAAACAATGCAATCGATCTCATTATTATTTTTTTTCTTATAAAAATAAATGTATATGATTTTAACAACCATTCTTTTTTCAATTTTTACTAAAAATTAATTTTTTTTTTTTAAATCCACGATTGAATTTTTGTTGAATTGCTTTGCAATTAAACGTAATGTAAAATAGGTCACAAGAGTAAACATCAATTTAATATAATGTAAGTAAACGATTTCTAGTGTTTGAAATGCGTATAGTCTGGTCACTGGTTTCTGCTTCCTAAACTAAAAATAATCATTTATTTAATGCAAAAGTGCAGAACCAAGTTGAACCCAATATGACTGATTTGTGTATATTCACATTAATCATTTCTTCGCTTTTAGCACAAAAATGTGGTACTTATATGGTTTGGGCAATAAATCACCTGTTTTTATAGAGCCATGAGTTCGAAAGGATGTACCACCACTTAAATCACATTTCATCATCGTTATAATATACGAATGTCGACGAATACATGTTTGTGGAAAAGAAAGATCGAGTAAAAAAAAAAAAAGAAAATAGTGTGGTATAGATTTATAGCCATTTTTCCGTTCAACTGAATGTGTATAGTTGTGAAACCCACACGTATACACCGCTGCACCAGACTCGTACAAAATCTTAGAGTTGAAATAATAATAAACATCGGACTTAATTTCGATCTAGAAACGATGTCCCGGTTGAGGGATTGTGCGTACAAACAAACGTTCAGCCAAACTGCCGTGTAATAGAAACTAAACCAAAACAGTTTTATAGAAAATAGTAAATACGCCAAACACAGTGATACACGCGTGCACGTATGTATCTAACTCAGAAAAAAAAAACAATAAAATTATTATTTACGTACTATTTTAAGAGCTATAATTATTAAATATCTTTTATAGTTTATAATAAACGATTAAATTATGTGCTACTGATACGGAAAATTGTAATCGATTGTTATCTAACCACGTGCGTGAATGGAAGAATTATTCCCACATAATCGATCAGCCGATTCAACGTACAGTTATAAACACTACTAATAATTTTTATTATTTTGGTGATAATTATATTTACGTGGGCCTTAATGTATAATTTTGATAGTGGTTTTGTACACAGCGTACTATTATATTATTATAGTTTTAGATAAATCTCTTGATAAACATATTTAGATATAATTACCTAGCCAAGTCTGATGTCCAACTTTATAGCCCGTTACTAAAAATTCATAGCAGTGATATTAATTAGATTCGAGTGTGCGACGATAGATAACCACCACGAGTAATACATATGCCAAAGAATTACGGTAAAATGATGCTCGTATTCTATATCAAGGTGTTCTCTAGTTGTCGATAAAGTAATGAACATCATTATGAAAGTTATGGACGTGACCTACATAAGATGACTACATGCAAATGAAAAACCCTTTGTATCTTTTTTCAAGATTAAGGATAAACTATAAGACCAACCAAGTAGTAAAAATTTTACTGAATTGATTAGTGTAATTAAAAAAATATTACTGTCTTATGAAAAATCATTCATAGTCCTTAGTAAATAAAAAGATAAATCATAAGATATCATTTTTAATTAAAAAAATGTATACTATTTTTATTTTAATAATAATTAACGTTTTGAAGTAAACATTTTTTAGAACAAATTCATATATCTATAGTGATCACTTTATAGTAGGTATGCAACTGTATACTAAATATAAATAATTATAATTAAAATCATGATTAGTTGATTGAATTCAGTAAAATCAATAGTTATACAAGAAAATTTTAATAACATTGATTTATAAATGAATAATTTTTTAAAGTAATCTTAGTTACATGAATTATAATTTTATTTTCTAAGGAAAATAATATAATTACGATCTACAAGAATGATTGAACATGAAAAATTTATTGAAATGAGACATAAACTTTTTATCAAAAGCTTAAATACTTTTAACTCATAAAGTACACAATCGAATTAGAATTTCAAAATATTTATATATTTTTAATACATTCTCCGAAAAATAATCTGCTTAAAAAAATTAATTTAAAAATGTATGTTGTCATTTAAAAAATTAAAAATCAAAATTATAAAAATATTAAAAATATAAATTGTCTTTATAAACATTGCTATAAATTATGTAAGAAAAAATATATTTAAAAAGTGAATAGATTTTTAAATAATGAGTTGTTCGTAATAAAATAGTTGTCTGGTATACGTATTATAGTTAATTGTATTGTTAATACATTATTTTTGTAAAACTTATAATTAGCTCTCATTTCTATTAGATAAAATCAAAAATTAAAACTTAAAGTTTAAAATCATTAAAAAAATAAATAAATATATATTAAAACACTAACTTAAATACTAGACATAATAACATTAATAACATATAATTGTTATTTTTATTAAATTATTTTAACATAATTAATAAAAAATAACTTTAAATTATAATGATACTGTCAATTACGATAAAAAAAAAAAAAAAAATAAATAAATAAATAATTAGACAAAATATCAATTTATATTTTAGTCACTATATGCTAGATTTATTGTTACATGGGAAGATTTCAATGAATTTAAGTTTCTATATTTCTGTAGTTCCGTAATAACTATAGTCATAGTAAAACTAACGGTTCTGTACATTTTCACGATGATCAGGTAATGTCAACTATTATTTAGACAACACACAAGTTAAAAATAACTTATTTCTTAAATTTTACAGCTTAAATTTTTTTTCGAATCAGAGTTTAAGAGAATTAAAGGTGGTGATTTTTAGTCTTTGTCTAACACATATGGGATATATGTATTTAGGTGTGTTTTCATTCTAACGTACTGATTCAATCTAGTGTATAGTAATAAAAATAATTTTAAACAAAGATTTTAATTTGTCGTCAAATAAATTTGAAATTGACTTTTTCGTATTTTAGATTTTATCCTCCTAAATCCTAAAAATTGTCATATTAAAAAAAAAAAAAAAAAAAAAGTAATTAAAACAATGGAA